TGATATCTTCAAACATATATTTTATTCAAAAATAAAAACATCACCGCTTTCTCAAAATCACATAAAGTCATATTATAACATTGACTGCGATAAAGAATTAAAATGAAATATTAAAATCACGATGTATCTCGCTGCATTGCACGAGTATGCTTCTAGTTAAATTATAATAAATTTTTTGAATTAAAGCAATAACAAAAAATTAGAACTTTTAAATAATTAATTTGATACTAATATTGATATTTTTTTTTCAAATTTTAGAATATTTTTAAACTTATGTCTTATTCAATAATAAAAACATTATCGTTTTCTCAAAACCACATAAAAGCACATTATGTCGAAATAGATAAAGAATAAAATGAAACATTAAAATCGAGATTTATCTCGATACATTGTACGAATACCCTTTTAGGAAGAATATTATACAATCTTTGCTTTCATATTTATATGTCCATGATGTATCCAAAATAAATCACTTACTTTATAACTTATGATTTTTCAGTATATATTCTAAAATAGATGATGATTTATTTAGGATAAAAAAAATAATGATTATAATTAATTAAAAGGTCACCAATTCCATGGGATTTGTTCGAACAATATCTATCCTGAGGGAGACTTCGCAACCACTTTATTGTATTCCCTTGATGTCATGACTAGAAATTCAATACTTTGGAATTGATATGTTTGATGCAAGTTTAGCCATACAAGATTATGACATTTTCTTACCCATTTTATGTGTAACTTATTATATATCTATATATATTCAGCAAACAATAGTGGAATAAAGTTACACATATTTTTATTATATATATAGAGGTTGGTTATTATACAATCCTTTACATTTGTGCAACCAATACAACCTAATCTCAACCGTCCATTTCATTTAATTAATATGTGATTTCATAAAAGTTTTGATTGTTTTCTAATATAAAGTATTGATCATAATTAATGAACTCTCATCATTTTCATAAATATCTCAATTTATTGGGTTGCATTGGTTGTACAAATGCTATGGGTTGTATTTGAAACAAACTCTCTCTCTCTTTATCTCTATATATATATATATATATATATATATATATATATATATTCAGCAAACAATAGTGGAATAAAGGCACACATACTTTTATTGTATGACATAATTGGGCAAAAACATTGTTTATTCCCATGGAACCCGACATTTACGGAGAAAAGAAACATCTTAGCTTACCCTTTTTCTTATTTTTAAAAATTAATTACACTTTGATCCATGTAATTATCGTCGTTATAAGGTTCATTCTCTACTTTAAATTAATTATACTTTGATCCATGTAATCATCGGTTATTATAAAGTTCATTCTCTACTTTAAACTAATTACACTTTTCATTATTGTGATTGACAATTTATTTCGCTTTTGGTCCATGACCATCGGTATTAACTAGGTCCATTAACTCTAGACCATTTAGCTATTTTTCTCATTCATTTGATTTTGTAATGGAAAAGTAAAAAAAAATACTATTATATTACGTATACACACCTACCCTTTTTTCTTCTCCAACCATAAACCTCGTCGGCCACTATGGGTTCGTCGGTTCCTTCATTTGTTCATCCCTTTCTCCGACCTCCTCCTTAGATCTGTGTTTTTTAATAATCAAACAACCTTTTTGACACCCTTTCCTCCTTGCACACATACTATTTTCGATGCCCATTCCCCTTGCATGCACAACATTTTCAGTGCCCCCTTCCTCATTCACACAACATAACTACAATGACCCTCCTACCTCTCCGACGACTCGCAGAGGCAAAACCATCGTCTTCTATCTTAATATATGTGTGCATGTGTGTGTTTATGTGTATGAAAAGCTACAACACCTTCTCCTGCCCCATATACAACCATCAGTCATCGTTGTATGAATGTCATAAATTCATAGTTGTGTGTGTATAGCAGATATGGTGCTTGTAGAGCCACAATTGCAGATCTCATTTTGTTGTCTTAAAGTAGAAAACAAAGAGAATTGTAGAGCATAAAGAAGTTGGGTTTGTTATTTTTCTCTTTGATTGTTGTAATTCTTGAGTTTTTTGAGGTTTGCTTTAATGGTGTGTGTGTGCAACATGAAAGGAAATAACGTATTCATGTTGGTTCTAATATGTTGGCAGATTTAAAAACATTTAGATTGTGTGTGTGTGTATGTGTGTGAAAGAGGAAATGAGACAAAAATGCTATGTGTGAAAGGAGAAAAAGGTGTAGAAAATGTTGTTTGACTAATAAAAAATTCAGATCCAGGGAGGAGCTTGAAGTTGTAGAAAAGAGAGTGAGCAAGTGATGGAACCAACAAATTTATGGTGGCGGACGAAATCTACGGTTGGAGAAGAAAAGGGTGGGTTAAATATAAGGTGACGTTTATTTTTTAAGAGGTGCTGAAGTCTGATTTCACTTGTAATTTTTAAGAGGTGGTGCTGAAGCAATATATAATAATATTTTTGTTTAAAACAAAGTGAGAAACCATAGTAATCAAAAGTATAACCAATTTAAATTAGAGACTAGACTTTGATAATCCATAGAAACTATATAAACCAAAGTACAAGTTACTATGTACTTTTAGTAACATGCTGACATGTTACTTTTTTATTTATTTATTGTTATTTGATTTATATATGTGTTAACGTGTTGTTGAAGGGAAATTTATATATTTGTTAACGTGTTGTTGAAGGGAAATTTAGGAAATAGAAAAATGAGAACAAATTTGTTTTATATATAGAAGTCTATCTCCTAGGAAAAATGTCATCTCTCTCTCTCTCTCTCTCTCTCTCTCTCTCTCTCAACATCATGCTTTCAGATCAAGAAGAGGAGGTAACGGTTGAACTTTTGCCTTTCCTCCGTGTCCGTAAGGACGGCACGGTGGAGCGACTCTATAACCCAACACTATCTCCACCATCACCGTCTGCGACCACCACTGGCGTCTGCTCTAAAGACACCGTCATTTCACCAAATGTCTCAGCCCGTATCTACCTACCCAACCCAGCTTCATTGCATAGCAAGAAACTACCCATCTTGGTCTACTTCCATGGTGGAGGTTTTTGCATAGAGTCTGCCTTCTCCACCCACTGCCACCGATACATAACCACCATAGCATCTCTGGCCAATGCTCTTATAGTCTCAGTTGACTACAGATTAGCTCCAGAAAACCCTCTTCCGGCAGCTTATGAAGATTCATGGACTGCTCTACAATGGGTTGCTTCACATGCCAACAAAGAACACAACAAAAAAGACGAACCATGGCTGGTTCAGCATGCAGATTTCGACCGTCTATATATAGGTGGCGATAGTGCAGGTAGGTAGTCATGTCGAGTTGAATAGCAGGTTTGTTTGTTTGAACTCGATCGGTGTAGGGTTCGAGCTCATTAATATTTTTTCAATCTTCGAGCTCCATACTCATTTTAAGAAATTTGAATCGCATAATATATATAGCAAGATATATCTCAATTTCAATGTTTTGTTTTATTATTTATCTATGTTGATATTATACGGTTTTGAGAAAACGATAATGTTTTTATTTTTGAATAAAATATAAGTTTAAATATATCAAACTTAGAAAAAAAATACATCGATATTAGTATCAAATTTACTATTTAGAGTTTTGGTTTTTTTGTGTAATTTTTTTAATTCAATATTTTGTTTATACGAAATAATTTATTTACCGTTTAATAATATAATTTTTATAAACATAATAATTACGTATTTTGTTATAATTAATGATTATTATTTGGGAAAAGTACAATAAAAACCAATGAACTTTCTTGTTTGGAATGATTAAGTCCTTGAACTTTTTTTTGGAACAAATAAGTCTTTGGACTTTCCAAAACATGTTAAATAAGTCCTTGAACATTCCAAAATATGTTAAATAAGTCTTTGGACAATTTTTGAAACAAATAAGTCCTTGGACATTCCAAAAAATGTTAAATAAGTCCTTGGACATTTTTTGGAACAAATAAGTTCTTGAACAATCCAAAACATGTTAAATAACTTTTTGAAAAAAATAAAGTGGTAAAATAGTGAAAAAAATCCGGAAAAAACCCCAATGAACTTTCTTGTTTGGAATGATTAAATCATTGAACTTTTTTTTAATATAAAAAATCTAAAATAGAATTAAAAAAAAGGTGTTTATCTCGTATTTGATTATGTTTATTTATACTATTTACATAAATTCAAAAATGAAGTTTTAATAAGTTGTACTTATACATAATTTACTTGTAATCTTGAATTTTAAGTAATATGCATTAACAAACAGTCATTTATGCATAAAAAATGATTTTTAAGAGTTTTTGTCAAATACCATATAATATAGTATAGATACCTAAATTTCAAGCTTTATATGCTCGATTTATGGGCTCGAACTTGAGATCCATAAAACTCGTTTATTGGCTTGAGTTCGAGTTCGAGTACGGATATATTTTCAATGTTCAAGTTCAAGCTTGATGATCATTAAACAAATTTGAATTCCTTGTTATACCTAAAATTCAAGATCTATAAATATGCTTGAACTCGAGATCGATTAAGTTGTTTATGGGCTCGAGCTCGATGTTTATCTAACAAATTTGAGTTATTTGTTCACTATAACAAAATCGGGTTTATAGGATGCAAAAAATGACTAAAGGGCTGTTTACCCAAATGCTTATCAAGTAGGTGTTTACCTATAGGAGCCAACACTATAACTTATTTTGAATCGTAAGATTTTAGTACATTAAAACGTATCGAATGCAACAATTTACCAGGTAAGAAGACTCTTCATCCTTCTCATCGATCTTACCCGGTAAGATTCTTGGCAGGGTCATGTTCATCCGATGAAGAAATTTATCCCATAAGCATTTATCAAGTAAGCGTTTAGTAAACGGTTCTTAAGTATCTTAACAAATTGTTTTACTGGACTCAATTTTATATAAATCAAACATATATAGTATCATATCTAAATTTGTTACAATAAGCTTATAGAACGTTTTAACAACTTTGATAAAATATCGTATCAACTATTTTATAAACACTACTTTTTACAAGACGTTTGTTTTTATAGAGCATTTTTTTTTTCAAAAGTGTCATATAATATAGTTAATATGACCCTTTTATTTTTAAAATGTCTAAAACACTTTTTAAAACCACTAAAAGTGTCTTACAAAATAGTCTACAATAACATTTAGTTATTTTTTACGTCCTATAATCCCACTTTTGTTTTAATAATTATATACCTAAATGTCAAGTTTTACGTGATCGTTTATGGGCTTGAATTAATTTGAGATCAATTAGTTCGTTTATTGGCTCGAACTTGATAATTTTTAAATTTTTTATTGTATTCTTTATAAGCATGTTTGATTCAAAAAAACATATGCTCAAATGGCTCAGCTCAACATGAGTTAAAAATTTTAATCCAGTTTTCAAAGGACCCAATTTGAACATTGGTTCATTGAGCTCGACTCCTTAAGTTATAAACGGGTTTTATTTTGTGTTCAAGTAGCTCCTCAAAAACTCGAATTGTTAACACCCCTAAGTGCAGGTGCAAATATTTCACACCATATGGCCATGCGAGCTGGCATTGAAGATTTGCATGGCAGGGTCAAGATTCTTGGTGTGTTTCTATCACACCCATACTTTTTGGGGTCAAAACCACTTGGCTCAGAGCCGATTACCGGTCGCGAAATGTCTCTTTTATACAAGACGTGGATTATCGCTTATCCTGGTGCTCCTGATGGTATCGATAATCCAAGAATCAACCCATTTGCCAAAACTGCGGCTTGTTTAACGGGTCTTGGATGTCGAAGGTTGATGATTTGTGTTGCATCAGAGGACGAGTTAAGAGACCGAGGGGTACGATACTACGATGCAGTGAAAGAGAGTGGATGGCAAGGGGAAATATCGTTGTTTGAGGTCCAAGGAGAGGGTCATAGCTTTCATATCTTTAACCCTGAAACAAAGAATGCAATGGAGATGTTTACACGTTTGGCTGGATTTCTCCAAGAGTGTTAATAGAATAAACACGGTGTATATAAGACTCATTCTTTGATGGTACATTATTATTATTATTATGGGTCCAGTTTCTATTTTCTGTAAGATATTATTTAATATCACGGTTGTCCCTTGGGGAGGGCGGCACGGGCGTACGGCCAGGGCCCAAAAATATCAGGGACCCAATTTTTTTTCTTAAAATACAATAGTAGTAAAAAAATTAATAAATTAAAGAAATCCAAAAAATTATAGCATATAATAAGAAGCAAAAATAATTTAGTAGATAATAAATGCCCAAAAATATATTAACTAATTATATTTGAGGGGAAAATAAGAAAATTAATTAGTCATTCATTATATGTTATTGTTTATTGCATCTCTAATTTTTTTTTTTCTCTCCAACAAGGTCCAATGATATTGGCTATTCCTATCTGTATATGTTTGATTGTTTTCGTGCTTCAACAATTCAATGTTAAGATCATGTGTGACAACTCTGCATTGTGGGATTTCAGGTTAATACTTTATTTCAGAATCTTAGTTGAAAACTAAGTCTTTTTAAGATTTAGCCTCAGAGATCGTTTTGTTAGTCTGATTAGGTCATGTTTCGACGGTAGCTAACCAAGTTAATTCATGCAAGCCAATTAGTCTTGAAAATATTTCACAAAAAGATAAAGTTGATATTTTAGTCTCGTTCTCTTAAAAATTCAAAAATTTTCCAAAGTTTCGATTTTCTTTTATTATTTAGTTGTTTATTATTATTATTATTATTAT